GCAGCGGCCTTCGGAGTTACTCGTTTTGCTTTTGTGTCTGCAGTGCTGGGGCCAGACCCGCTTTACCTGTGCTGGGCTCTACCACTGAGCTGCCTCCCTGGCCGGCTAGGCATGACTTCTCGGGCTCCTAGGTTCTGTTCTCAGCACAGACCAGCAGTCACTGTGGTCCTTAGGGAGTGTAGCGCAGCCCGGCCCGTGTCAGGCTCTCAGAGCTCTCCAGTGGCTGAAGACAGAAGTCCTCGCAGTGGTGCACCTGCTACTCTTCTGGCTGTGCGTCCCGCGTGGGCTCTTGCTGCTTGTCACTCAGTGGCTGCTCAGTCCTCCAGTGTCTCCCTCCCTCCCCTGCGCCAGGGCTGTGTCCCACTGTGCGGAGGTCCCCTGCCCTCCCCAGGCCGTTCCCTCCCCTTCTGACCCCACCCCACGTTCCTTCCGTGCTTTCCTCTCCAGCACGGGTCACCAGCCCCACACGTAAGCCTTCTCATCCATGAAGCTTCCTGCTTTCTCCGCCACCAGACAAACTCCGTGAGGGCAGAGGGGGTTGTTGGTTGCATTTTGAAACTTTTTTTTTCTTGAAATCTCAGCCTAGTGCCTAGCACACAGTGAGCACTCAGCCAATTTTTGTTGAATTGATTTTTTAAATTGTCAAATAAGTTAATTTTTTTAAATCAGTGAGCTGCTCACTATTAGGATGACTGAATTCCTGATCTAGTTGAGATCAGGGATCTCCAGGGAATGGAGTTTAAGGAAATCGGGACATGGTTGATTACTTCTTCTGTTTGGAGGTGGCAGAGCCAATGCTCTGGAAGGGACCCTGGGTAGCACCCTGCGTGCTCCTGTCTTTCCGATCTGGGCTTACAAAATGATTTTTCTAAAACAGTTACTTTTTGTTGTTTTTTTGGTACTGGGAATCAAACTGACCTTGCACTTGCCGCTGAGCTATATCCCTGGCCCATGATCACCTTTCTAGAGATTGCTCTCTGGTGTGCCATGTCTTAGCCAGCGTGAGGGTGTTAATTTTTCTGCAGTGCTTCTTCTTTTTTTGTTGTGCCTGGAATTGAACTTAAGACCTCATGATTGCCAGGCAAGTGCTTATGCCACTGAGCCGAATCCCTGGCCCCTCTGCAGTGCTTCTTAAAAGAATTTAGTCACAAAAAAAAAAAAAAAAAAAAAAGAATTTAGTCACTTACCAATATCAATTATTTCAGAAGAAAGAATTTCTTGCTTTGGAAAAGTAAGAGGTTCTGCTAGGTCCACTGTCACATGCTGCCAGCTCATAGGACTAAAGAACCATGGTCCTCTCATGCCAGGGGCAGCGTGTCCTCTCTACCCTCCTTACCTGTCCAGCCCTGCAAGAGTTTACCGGAGTGCTTTAACTCTCAAGTTACGCTTTTCAGATACTGAAGATCATTTTTATAGAACTGAAGGGATTTTTAATGACTCTTTTCTGTTAAATGACCTAGTACTGGTGGTGCCGACCAGTTAGAAGAAAGAGTAAAAGACGTGAGGTAGATTTCAGCTTTGACAGGTGCTCATTTGCTTAGCCCTTGTCAGTGTCTTAATCCTTCTGTCCCACATTCTAGGATACCAGGATGATTGAATTTCCTGCTTTCATAAGGTTTCTTATCTAGTTGAGAAGTAGCCAGGAAATGGAATTTAAGAAAATTAGGATTCAACTGCTGTCTGTTAGCATAATGGCCTTTATATAATTTTTTAATAATCATATTCAGGTGCCCACAGATGGAGGCGCTTAGACACTCCTTGTTACCGATGGGAAGAGGTAGTAATAAGCATTGGAGTGCTGGTAAGAGGAGGGAAGGGAGCAGAGAGACGAGGTGGAAGAGCAAATCACCACCCAGTGACAAGGTCCACTCAGGGGCTTGTCTTGGAACAAAATAAAAAGTAACCCCAGGGTTTCACAGTGTGGAGATCTTGAAACCTGCGAAGTCAAGTCTCAGACTATATTGAATGAGTTTATAAAGGTGCCAGGTAGTTCCTCAGCCAAAAATGATTATCTCGTGAAACCTGGCATCGTTGCTGTCACGTGACTTCTGTTTTCTCTTCCTCTTCTGGTAGGAACACTGCTTTGGACTCTGACTTTAAAGCAGGAGCCGAGAGACAGGGTCTGCCTGCTTTGCACCCCAGCGGTGGCAGGTTTTCCATGAGAGAGTGCACAATTCAGTGCCTGGACTTGTGTCTCAAGGGCTAGTGGGGAATGTTCTTTTAAAGGGGAAAAAGTGAAACCTGGATACTTGGGACCACTTTAAAAGGTTGGAGTGTTTCGCTCTGTGAGTGAAGAATGTGTTCTTACACTGTGAGAATGAATTTCAGGTGGCTGCTGTGAAGCCCAGAGAGCACCGGCTTCTGTTACCTTTGCAGTTAATTTCAGAGCAAGTCGTGTCATTTTAGCAGTTAGGAGCCCTAAGGTCAGCTTACGCAAATGGGTGTCATCTCCATCAGACTCACAAGACACCAAGGAGAGAGTCAGCATTCCCTAGTCCAGAAGTTCCCATCCAACGCTGTGTGCTGCGCTGGCCACACCACCACAGGCTTCCAGCGAGGCCTCCTGACAGTTTTTCCTACACGCTGAGTGACTTACACTGATTATTCTTCTGGTTTTTTTTTTTTTTTTTTTTTTGTCTTTTTCATTTTTATCGGTACTGGGGATCGAACTCACGACTGCCTGCCTGCAAGGCAGGTGCTTATGCCACTGAGCTAAATCCCCAGCCCCGATTATTCTTCTGAAGCAGCCTGCAACTCTGATCTTTTCCAGTCTCACCTGCTTTGAGCTTGAGAGATGCATTCTCTCAGGTGGAAGAGAAGCTTGATCTGTAGAGTTAATAGATCTGCTTTGCCTACCTCCCCTTTGAAGATGCTTTCTTCAAAAGCCTGTTTTCTGTTGTCTGCTCAGGAAGTGATTCGGATCTGACATAAATACCTTTACCTGTTCCAAGACCAGTCATTTTTCTAACCTAGCAGGTACCGAGAGGGAGCCAGTGAAAACTTGTCCTGTCATGTGCGGAGCAAATGGTGGTAGCCCTGCATTTCCAGTGTGGCATCTGGGTGCACCTCTGGAGCTCTCAGAAGCCTTTGGGGTCCTCTTTGTTCTTGACTGTTGGGAACGAGGATGATCCTGTGAGCATTTTAGTGAATGGCCTCTTACTAGAGGGCTTTTTCTCTCCTAAGAGCACCTGAGAAGGAAGAGAGACAGTGTCGCACTGAGGCAAACACCCCACCCCAGTGATTCTTAACTTCACCGCCTGGAAAACTTTAATTACACACAGGTTTAGTTTTTCGAAAGGGAGGCTGAATGTTTAGTTTCCTAGTGAAGCCACGTGTGGTGGCAAATGCCTATAGTCCCAGCAGTAGTGAGGCTGAGGCAGGAGGACGGCCACAAGTTGGAGACTAGCCTGAGCTCTGTACAGAATTCAAGGCCTGTTTCAACTACATAGTGAGACCTTGTCTCAAAAAAAAAGCATATGTGTTCTTTTTCCCCCGATGACCCTAATGTACAGCCAGGGCTAAGAATCAGGGGTTCTAGGGTGGCCTGGACTTGCTCAGAGTTCCTTCGGAGGACGCAGGCAAGTGGAGAAACAGAGCGGTTCCAGGGCCGCTCCCCTCGGCTGCCCTCCCTTTTGCCTGAGCAATTCTGCTTTTGTCCGTTTCATGCACTGTTTCTAAAGGGAAGAAGCATGTTGACTGTAGTTCTGGCTATTGGCCCAATATTAGGGCAACACAGCTTTTAAACATGGTTTTCAAAGATAGTAAGGACTGAGCTTTTCCCGGATATCTGTGTGTTCTGTAGCTTCTGAGGAATGCAAGGGGAGGAAAAAAATCTAACAGTAATAACAGTTACCCTGTGATCTTGCAAGAAAGAAAGTGCCTCACCCCAGCGGGGGTCGCACACTGCCCTGCTGACCTTGTTGGTCACATGGGTCTCTGCAGCAGCCTATGGTGCTTTCTAGACTGGCACTGGTGTCCAGTTCACCCTGGTGCCCAGCGCTCTGTGCCACCTCCACCTCTCTGATCATCCTCCCAATGCCCTGGCCTTTGAAAGCAGGTGTGTTTCTAAACCTTACCAAACAACTTGTCTGTTTGCTATTTGCAGAGATACTTAATTTGATCCTTGAAAAATGTCTATACTTGGCCAGTGCAAGATACTATAACCTCATTTATGTCTACAGAAAAATGTTTTAAATTCCAAACATTTAGCAGCCATTGAAAGAGTTATTACTGCTTTTTTATTTCCCCTCCTCAGGGGAGGAAAAAGTACGACTTTTATTGAAGAAAATAATTTGTTTGGTATGAGAACTTCATACAAAGTTTATGAAAGGAATTAATTGTGAACGTTGCATTAACCCTATTTCTAGAACGCCGGGATGGTGCACTTGTCTGTCGGTGGGCTGGACTTCTCCTCTTCCACTAGTCAGAGCAGACCTCCCTAGATTGCTCTTCTGCTGTGCCCCTCGTTACTTGAACACTCATTGCTCTGTGGTCTCACTAATGGACTAATTCCCCGAGATTGCAAGTCGGCTCGCTTTCATTTCCAGATTGCAGCTTCCCTGTCATCGGTTTCCTGGGGTTTTTTTTTTTTTGACATGTTTGTTTTATGCTGCATCACAAAATGGGTTTTTTCATTTCACCTCTTCTGAAGTCATCTGTCCCCTCTAATCAGTGCATGAACTGTGCATCTGAGGGTATTTATCCAATGGCACCAATCAGATTTTACATTTTTCAAAAACCATCATGCCTTTTAAAAAAAGTTGACAAGTCAATTTTAGTTTTTTTTAAAACAGTTACTATCGCCCATTTCCCAAAGCAAATTAGTGAAAGTCAATTTTTTAAAAATTCCAACAGCAGTTCATACCGTAGAGTTTCTGTTGAAATCACTGCCATTTTTGGCTATTAGACTCTTTCTTATTATAACTTAAAACTTGGACCAGAAAAGTATAGAAAGAGCATAATTTTAAAACGTACAGCATAACTTTTTCTTCTTTTTGTAGCATTAATCTTATCACTGGTCATTTAGAGGAACCAATGCCAAACCCTATAGATGAAATGACAGAAGAACAAAAAGAATATGAAGCCATGAAACTTGTCAACATGCTTGATAAACTTTCCAGGTATTGTATTCCTGTCCACTTTTGCTTGGTTTCTAAAGTGTTCTATTTCTTTGTCTCTCTGACTGAGAGTTACCTAGAACAGCGACTCTGGCATCCATGCGATGGCACAGGTGGCCCCGGCAGCCGCAGTGCAGACCCTCTTGGCTACCACGGCTTCCTGCGTGTGCCTGTGCATTCGTAAATGCTCAAGCACTAGAGCTGAGACAGTAACTGCCGGATCATTATTAATACTTAACCAACTAACCTCCCTGTCTTCAAAAGGACTCTGTGAGTGAGGCTCGGAACTTCGCTGCTGCTTGTATTTTGTTTCAGTCTGTTTTGGTTATTGTTCCAAATCATGACGCGCTTTTTCTTTTTCTTTTCATTTTTGATGTGCAAGTTCGCAATTCTGCTTTTTTGGGTTGCTGCTGAAACCAGAAATTCTAAAATGTCATGCACCGAACAGGAGAAAGTAGAAAACAATAGCTCGAAGGATTTATGAAAGGAAGAAGTGTATTAATTAGGGGTTCTGGAAACAGCCTGCCCTTCCCCTCCCGTTTCACACCTCTCTGTCCAGAAATAACTCGTTTTGAAAATGATTAAACAGATATGTACTAATCATCAGCTGGCTGCCTTGAGGGTTAGTAGGAAGGATCCCTTTCACCCTCGGCTGCAGGGCTCTGTTTTCGGGTCACACACTGAGTCTCTGTCTCCTGGGAGCCGACTTGGGTGAGCGCTGGTCATCCGCTTCCCCACTGTGCCTGTGTGCCGGCCAGGCCTCAGCTGAGAGAAGAGGGGCTGGGCAGGGGAGCCAGGAAGCCCGCCTTGGGAAGGAAGCTGTGAGGAGAAACGGTTCGGGACGGCACAGCGGGCAGCCTAGCGGAGAGGCAGGCGGGAGCAGGAGGCTGGTGACACGGGCGTTTGAACATACCGCTCTGCGGGCAGGGCTTTTTCGTAGGACGTTGTTGACGTGCGAAGAGATGTTTAGAAGTAGGCACTTCATTATCACAAAGCACAACCAGAATTCAGGGACCACCGCTAGCCATCTGAACTCTTCATCCTTTCCTGGAGTTAGAGGGTATAGCTAACTGTCCTTAAGGTCTTGAGAACACTTTTCCGCCTGTTTCACACCTTTGGGCATAATTGACATGTTCTTTCCCTGAAGGAATGAAGAGTCGGGAAGATACTGACAAGGTAACCCGCAAGAGACTAACAAGTTGACGAAAAGAAGGCGGGCTAGCCTGGGGCGTAGCTCAGTGTGGGAGTGTGTGCCTCGCATGTGCGAGGCCCCAAGTGCAGTCCCCAGAGAGACAGAGGGTTTGCGAAACTGAAGACAGCCATGTGCTTGGTTCCTTCTGGAAGAGTCTGTCGTGCCTACACAGCTGAGTTAGGACGAGCCCCACCGAGCCCTTGGCGGGGGTGAGTGGGCGAGTGTTGGCAGGATGAGCTCAGGAGTTGGGGGGGAAGACAGCTAAGGTGTATGTTTCATGTTCTGCACTTTCAAAGGTTAGTGCTGATTCTGTGCAGCTGCCCCATCTACTCTGAAAGGAAAAACTCCGAGTTAGGATAGTGGAAGGTGGCAAAAAGGAGTGCCTGAGGCTATGCTGGGTACCTGGCTTCCTGACGGGTGCCACCAGGTACCACTGCAGTGTGAGGCATGCCTGTCAGGCCCTGAGAAACAAGGGGCTAGTTCCTTCCCTTTTTAATCTCAGGAGGATCCACATATTTTAGAAGCACCAGTGAGCAAATACACAGCTGCCACCTCATTTAAACTGTGCCTGGGAGAAGGTACACATTTGCCTAGGACACCAGCAGCTGCTGAGCCCAGCAGGAAGGCGATTCTCATTTTTGCATGAATAAAGCAGGGTAAATATATCTTGTGTTAGCTTTGATGGTGCCAAATTTGCTGTTAAAGTTGAAGCCAGGTGGCCTGAGGGTAATCCTAAACCACATAGACTTCGCATGATGTGTGGTGGGTTTTGACATTGTCTGCCTTTGTGTGCTTTCTAACATTTGCTCTCTCTAATAACACTCAGTGCCCAACTGTGTGAAGATCAGTGGTGAGCATTCCAGATCAGGAATGCAAAGAATGAAGCCATTCTTTATGCGTCTTGTTTGTGCTGTACTCCTTCCTCATTAGTCTTAAGTTTCTTCTCTCTCCTCACTTGTGTTTCTCTAGGTTATGGAGAAAAGATGCCACAAAGCCCAAGTAGACCAAATTCAGTACAATTCTGGGGGCGTGCACTAAGCAGCTGCCCTACTCAGCACTAGGTCAGGACACCGAGGAGGGTCTGAGGCGAGTGTCACAGTCTCTGCCTTCGCTAGAGGCACGTTGCAGTGCAGGAGGCAGCTGGTGTCTATTCTGGACACAGCACAGAAGGAAACATGGCAAAACGAGGTCTGCAGTGGGCTGTGCGCACCCAGGAAAAGGAGCAGCTCATTCCGTGCGGGTGATTCAGGAAGGGATCCCGGGCAGGCGGTAGCAGGTGTGCCCTCTGTTGCAGCTCCAGAAGTCCTGGCGGGGAGGGAAGAGCGGCCACTTGCTGCAGCCGGAGGGAGGGTTAACCTGGCTAGTAAGACCAGCCTCCGGCACTCACATACTGCATCTTTCTCCAGGGGGCTCCGATTAACTCACCATTAAGGGAAGCAGAACCAAAGAACTGCCCAGAGCTTTTCTAAACTAGTGACTGATGGCAATCCATTCCCTTCTGACAGTTTACAAGACATCTTCATGTACATTCTCTAGCTTCAAAATGAAGTGAGTTTAGGAACTTCATTTTCCAGAACTCAGATCTCTGCTCTGTCCCGTGTCACTGTGTCTGTCTGCTACCTAACCGTGAGTGTCTGCCAGAGCTCTTCCTGATCACCCTCTCCGCGCTGTCCTGTGGGTTAGTTCCCTCCATTCTCCGGGATTCTGCATTCAGCAGGCTTTACTGTGCGGAGAATGCACCATAGCTTTGTCTGATGAACTTCCTTCCTTCCTCGGAAGTGAAATCATCGTTCTCCTCTGCACCTGAGTTGAGAGGTTTTGTGCATAGAGGACAGGGTTGGAGGTGGCGTGGCCTTGCACGGACACTAGACACTTCCTTTTTTCCATCCATAGGAGAGCAGATGTGAAGGACCCGCACCAGGATGGTGGTTAGCAACAGTGGCCCGTGCCAAAGCACTTACCAAAGTGATGACTAAGGTTGGTTATGCCAAGTACTGTTACTGAGCTTGGTGTAGATCGTAGGTGCACTGCTCACTGCCGGAAATACAGGCCCCACTGTGACCCTGAAAGCCACTTGCCCCTTTCGCCCCCACTTCCCGCTAACTGCACACACGGTGGAAAGGCGCTGCTCGGGTGCCGATGTCTTCCTGCACACCAACCGACCGAGCACCCAGAACCCTGTGGGACCTGACTCCTTAGCATCGTGCTTCATTTGTGCCGGGCGTTCTACACCCGCACACGGGGACGACAGTGCACCTGCAGAGTGACTGACTGACTCGGGGCTCCTCTCATGAGGAGCCTCTGGAGGGCCTGTAACCTGTGGCCCCCAGTTAGGATGAGAAGTAGTGAAAGCAGCTGAGCCCGAGACAGTTTTTTGCTCTATAAAATAGCCGACATGGCTCACAATTAGAGTGTGCTCTGGAATGTGGCTCTGTGCTAGCACATGCACGACGCTGTGATCCAATCCTGGCACTAAATAAATATTCTTTGTGAGTTCCATTGCTGGGCCAGATTTTGTAAAATCCAAGACTGAAAAGAAATTCCCGAAGACTTGCAGGGACATGACTGAGTGACTGGGTGCCTGATTTTCTTACTGTAGAGTGACACACACAGTATTGAAGATGTAAGCATTAAGGTGTAAGGTCTAAGTTTACAGAAAGCTTCATTTGATGTTTACAGTGGGAGAGCGCAGATGGAGAAGGGTAAAGTTTTTCTGTCTCTCCGTCTCATTGTCTGACTTGAGCAAGATCAGCAGGGGGACTGTGTGGGCTTCAGCAAGTCCAGCGGCCTGATGCTGCCGGGCTGCCTCAGACAGCACACGGCCTGCATCCAGAATGGGCCTCCCGGAGCCCAGCGGAGCGGAGCGGGCGCTGCCTGGGTGCCGCCTGTGCAGCCCGAGGGAGGGTCCCGGTCCCCACAGGCTCCTAATCAGAGCCAGAATCGCTTACTCCTAACTGTGGAACAAGGTGCCGTGTGGAAATTTATAGGTGTATAAATAATAATTGTTCTGTCATTTCTTCCTTTTCTATTTGATTTCTTCTTTACTGTAATTTTTTGCCCGCCTTAGTATTTGAGACATGGCTTCCTTCATAAATGGAAGTACCAGACATAAGAACAGTTCCCTTTAACGCCAAGATTATTTTTAACTAAGGCTGAGAGTGACTTATGACTGAACAGTAACATTTTGCTTATAAATAAGTAATTTTACTTTTCTTATAAAAGTATCAATAACTGTGTTGATCTTCCTTTGTGATAAGTTAGTCAAGGAAGCTCCTGGCAAGTACATTTTAGAAACGTGGCCCAGTGCTTAAAGCATTAGAAGATCTATTATAGGCACGAAAGTATGAAGATCTTAATTGTTTTACCAGAAAATCCAGAATGATAACCTCTGGCCATATTTGACTTTTGAGCACTGAAAGTATGTTTAGTTCAAATTGGATCCCCTGTAAATGTAAAATACCAGGCTTCAAAGACTTACTACCAAAGAGGGGATGTAAAATACCTCACTACTTGTTTAATATAGATTACATGTTGAAACTATAATATTTATTATATTCTGGATGACATAAAGTATGCTATTAAATTGACCTGGTTTTTTCTGTACAGCTATTAGAACATTGCATATATGGGCTTCCATTGTGGCTTGGATTCTGTTGTCATTGGACAGCTCTCCTCTCCATTATTAAAAATGCACTGTAAGGTTGCTTGGAAATTCAGTTAGGGGACTTGGGACCGGGTAATTTACAGCCTTAGAGGAGCAGAGAAGGACCAGCAAGAGAAGCTTGATACTGGATATGGTTAGGTGTCCAGGGGCCGGGCAGCCAACCAGGAGGAGGTGCTCCCTTTGCCTCCCTGTGGACAGCCACCGCCCTCAGGACCGTAGTGGGATGGCTCTTCAGAGCCTTCGGCAGAAGCACTGGCTGCGCCAAGAGCCGCACTGACCCTCTCCACCCCTAACCTCCACGGTCCCTAAGTGGGGTCACCTAAGCACTGCGGTTTCCGCTGCTGCATTCAGCAGAATTCGTTGGCATGCTGGCCTCTTACTAATATTTACTTTGCTAATTCACACAACAGGATAAAAAAAATTTATAAGTAAATTGCCAAGAAATAAAAACACCATCACCTAAAGACAAGATTGAATTTCCAGCATTGTGCCTTTTCTCTTTTTCTATGTTTTATTAATCATGCTATTTATTGACATGAGTAGCACATTTTTAGAGGATGGCATGTGATCTAACAGAAATGAGAGCAATAATTTTAAAAACTGAACATTCCCATTGTGCTTTAAAATAGCCCTGTGAATTAAAGAGGACAGGCGGTGTTCGGCTGAGCAGTAAATGCTCCAAAGCCGGAGTGACCGATCCAAGCTCAGGACAGAGGCGGCACAGCAGGGCTCAGTGCTCAGGATTTGCTGCAGACGCCGTGTCATTTTGAAAATTACCAAGAACTCTCAGAAAGTTCTGACTATCCTTAAATAAGATTTCTAAGTTTTATATAAATACAAAGCACAAAAACCAACAACGTGCATACTAACCTCAGAGGAAAACAGGGTAGAGGGACGTGTGCACATGCCTCCTGCTCTTCCACTCCACAGCTGAGCTCTCCCGGGATAGCAGATCAGGTGCTGAGTAACTTACTTAAAACCCCATTGCCGGGCTGAAGATGCGGCCGAGAGGCACACGTGCCTATCTGCAAGCACAAGGTCCTGAGTTCAATTCCAGGTACAAAAAAGAAAATACTGTATGAGGAAAATTAGTAAAATCTCTGTGAGTTGGTGTTAAAACAGGTTTTTAAGTATTTTAAGAAGAGAATGAAATTGGTGTCAACAAATTTTAAGAAGAGAATGAAATTGGTGTCAACAAATTGTATTACACGTGTCATTACACGAATAAAACCTAACTTGAAAAGGCTTCTCTGTGAACTTTTTAGACAATCCCATTGACTTCACAGAGTGGAATGGTGCTCCACCGTATCCGGTTGACTTGAAAATGGTATTTTCACGCAGCATATTTTACTTCCCAAACTTGACCTAATTCTCAGCGTGATGGCAAACGCTGAGGGAAGGCTCTCGTAATCACCTCTGAGTGCCTGCACCGTAAGACCCGGGTTCACTGTGGGAGGGCCACTGTACCTCCTTGCAGGGAGCTGGTAGCTTAGTAGAAGGCCAAGGTAACCAGCCAAGCTAGGAAGCGCTTGGAAAGGACGCTCTGAGAGGTGAAGAGCCCGAGGTGCTATCACAGCACCCAGCGGCACGGCCCAGCCCAGAGAACGCGGAGTTTCTGAGAGGAAAGAGGGCTCAGCCGTCTGTACGCATCCCTGCCCGCATTGCTGACAGGCCCGTTGATCTTCCGTGGATGCGGGCCGTCCCAGCGTTGCGGCCAGACTTGGGCTTACAGCCGAGGCTGTGCAGCTGCCTTCTCAGGGCTGTCGAAGGCGCCATTGTGGCAGGCACTTCCGGAAAAGCTCTATGTTAATTAAAATGCATTATTTATAGACTTACTTCTCATCCCATCTTTCAAACATGAAAAGGAATTAAATATGAAATGGCTTATTTAAAATGTCAGTCGTTTTTTCCAAGCCAACCTTACATTAAAACCAGGAATCCCTGTGCCAAAGAAATGGTGCACAATTATCCTGTCTTGGGTTTTGTTAGACATTGTGCCGAAGTTAACAAAACAAGTGTGTAACAGAACTGCCTAAGTGGCAGCCCTTTGATTAAAGACAGAGACTTAATCAGGGGACACTGAAGGAAGCAGTGCCTCATAGGTTCCCCCTTTTCTTCTTTTCTAATCATAGAACAAAATATGTTACATAAAAGGATCAGAACTATTATGCAGTACTCAATTAGAGGGAGGTGAATAGGTCTCTAACATGCTGTTTTATCAAAAGAGCAGACTGGTGTTTGCATGACTGTTGTTTCATTACAGACCCTGTCATTAATTCCATGTGTCAATACTGCCCTGTAGTACACAGAGCAGACAAGAAAGAAGAGCCCTTGAAAACAAGGGAATGATTTTTGAGTCGTTATCAAGCTAAGTGGCAAGCGGGAAGCTGAAACTCGTATAGGTAAATTCGAAGGGACTCGGGGGAGATCTGCAAGTGGGAAACAAGGATGCCTTTTACCAACTGCTTAATTATGTCCTGCTTTTCAACAAGTACACTTGAAATGAATGCTTTGTTTGTCTTGCACAAAAACGTGTGCTGTGGGCAAGAGTATTCTCTTGCTTCCAGGTCAAGTAAGGTGTTTCTGTACAACCACATACGGCCCGTCCTGTCATGTGCAATTGGCTGTGCTAGAATCTGAGCCCAGTCCCGCACTGCCGCTGCTGGGGAGAGTCACAAAGGAGCAGAAGCCCTAGAAAGCGGGACCTTCTCTAAGCTCTGAGGCATCCCGGTACTCTACTCAGGAAAATGGTGGCTCAGGAGAATGGTACAACATATCTAGGGGAAAAACAGACCGAAAAATTTTCAACATGTATAACTCCTATATTTTTCCACCCCTAGATCTTTAAGAAGTCCTTTAGCAGTCCCAAAATTTTGGCTGGGGCAAAAAAGGGTTTCCTTCCTTGGACGTTCTTTACCTGTGTCCTCTTGCCTGGCCAAGCCCTTATATTATGGTTCCTTATCACTTAGTAAGATCAAATTTCCAAATGATGTTTCGTTCCAGTTGAACATTCTTGGAGGCTTATCTCTTCCCTGGCCAGATGCCTGATCAGATGAGAAGCCCGCCATGATACAGTGCGTAGCATGGGCTCTTTATCCAGTAGACATCACTGTCATTTGTGATGCTAACAAGGGCAGTCTTAGCCTATGTTAAGGCCTGTGTGTGGCCTCGAAGGTAAGTATGAAGGAGCTGTTGCTGTGTGAATATCTTAACCCTGATGCACATTTCAATATACAGTAACTCCATTTTACCGTGGAGATATATATATATATATATATATATATATATATATATATATACATGTATATCTGACACCTAGCCATCCTTTTTACACAGAAGCTTCATCAGTGTAGGGCTAGCGATAACTCTTCACAGCACGGTCTGCTTTCTGGGGCTGTGACCGAATCTGGATCCTTGTGCGTAACACTTGCTTTGCTCTGAGTTACTTGTGCAGTGTTTTACTCACCTGCCGGCAGATTGTAGCGAGGGTTGTGGTCTTGGTGTATGTATGTCAGTGACAGTACGAGGGATGTGATTGACTCCTATGGTTAGAAAATTTGGATTAAAAACACAATCTCAGAATAATGAGTTTGAATGTCTTAAAAACCTACCAGCTTGATGCATAGATCAAAATTATCTGGTAATCTTAGACTTAGTCTCTTGAGACTAGTACAGAATAGTAGAGATCATCTTGTGCAGCCCTTCATTTTGGAGGTTGGGAGACTCGAGCCCAGAGAGGCCAGCGACTTGCCCAAGGACACATAGCAGGCCAGCAGAATATCGGAGACTAGAACTAGCTCCAACTTCTGATGTCCACACACCTGAAGCCATTTCTGTACCAGTGGGTGGCTGGGAGAGCCCGGTTGCACAGTCAGAAGGGGCATTATTTCTGCCGGGCTGCCAGAATTTCTCTGTGTGATTCCTTGGGCTCCTGTGCCAATTCCAGTGAAAACAGAACACTGGGAAATCTCCATTATTGCCCATGACCCGTGCACCATGTTCTTCCAGGAAGCGTTCACTGAGCAGCCCGGGTGCTGCTCCTCCCCTAGATTCGGCAGGTGACGGCCAGATGGGTACGGACTCTGCCCTCAGGGTGCTCAGAGTCGCCAGAAAGTGTTAGCGGTGCTTCCTGCAGCGCCCAGCCACCCGCTCCCGCGCTGCGCTCCGGGAGGCTTGCCAGTGAACCGAGCCTTAGCTCTCATCTCCCTCGTGGTGCAGTCTGGGCCTCCCCTGGCAGTGAGGACGCAGGAGGAGACGGAGTGCAGCGAGCAGGGCAGCAGCCACCTCCCTGGGCTCTGCTCTCTGCAGGGCCCTGTGCTGGGCACGCAAGGGTAGAACAGGGCAGTGCGGGCGGCCTTCTTTCCAGTACCTCGAATCAGGTCATTTCAGAGCTTTCCCACTTTGCAGCAAGTTATTTGTAATACAGTCTGTAGTGTGTGGAGAAGGGTCTTGGAATAGAAGACAAAATCCCTTCCTACTCCCATTCAGACTCGTGAGCCCGAGATGCAGGTCTCCACTCAGGCCCCCTTGTACCCCACATCTCTTTGGAGCTTGCCTTTTCCTTTTCCTCAGCCAAGCCAGCCTGCTTGCCAGTCCTGCACACAACTAACTTTTGCTTCTGTGCCTCTGTTTGACTAATTCTTCCGCTTCTGGGATGCTTTATTCCCATAAATCCATGTCCATCCTGCCATTCCAGTCTGGCTCAAGTCCACCGCCTGCAAGGAGCCTGTGGTCAGTGTCCCTGTCTCCTCCTGTGTCCCTCGAATGTGTGCACAGCCCACGTGACTGGTGAAGGAACATTGTCATGGTGCGCATTATAGCTTCCCGTTCTCTGTCCACATCTTGCTGATCGAGACCATAAACGAAGCAGTCTGGTGTCACGGTCACTCACCAGGCCTTTCAGGAGTGAGTCTCTAGATCAGAGCTCACATTTTTGGTATTTACGGGCTGCTAGTTTTAGGAGACAGAGGAAGATTTAGGAGAGAGAAAAGATTGGCGTGGTGATACGAAAAATAAGCCAGGGGTCCATGGAAAAAGACACATAACTGTAAATGTCCTGTCCTGCTCGCAGCCAGGACGTGAGCTCTCCTCTAAAGGTTGCCGGGGCAGAAGGGTGGAGAAGCTGGGAGCTGAGGGGTCTTTGCCTGTTACTCTCCTCACGCCTGTTGGTCTGCTGTGCTGTGCTGCTTTCAGTACTGTTAATGTGTGTGTGTTTTATCCTCTGAACTGACAGAAAGCTTCCTGGCAGGGACCGTGTCTGTTATTTGCCTCTGCATATGCTCCCCTGCCCCTGCTTACTCCTGGCAAGCCCTGGAAACCCCTCAGGGGCACCTAGGAACAGGAGCACCACTGGTGGGTGCCAGCTGCATCCCAGCTGTGGCACCGCACGTGCTGTGTGCAGTGGCCGTTGTCGCCAGGGCGGCCCAGTAAGTGTGGGGTGCAGACACAGAAGTCAACGGCAAGGGAGTCCGGGGTCTCGCAGACGCAGAGTTCGAGCCAGGTCTGCCTGCCTGCAGAAGCCGTGTGTGCTCTCCACGCCCCACAGTCACCACGAGGCTTCAGCCTCCCAGCTCCCGGAACTCTGATCTGCACAGTTGCTGCTGGCGTTGCCACCACCACTGTTCCTCCATTCGTCACATGGTCACTTCCACCCCACTGGAAAGCAGGTGGCGCTAGCACTGTCAGGACCCCGCTCACGGCTGGGGACTTGCCCAGGACACGTGCTGGCGAGTGGGGTCAGACCTCCAGACACGGCCAGCCTCCGTCTCGGTGCTCTCTCCTCCATGTCACACCGCTGCCTTGGTCCCTTTGCACGAGTGCGTGACTGTGGCCAGTTGTCACTGCCGCCACTCCTGCAGACACCAGCGTGCCCAGCGTGGAGGGAAGGAAGGAATTCATGTCCTCTGAGGACTTTCCATTTTAATGGAGGGGTGATATCAAAGCCCAAAACATAACTGCCTGGGGGCCGGGGACTTAGCTCAGCGGCACAAGCACCTGCCTGGCAAGTGTGAGGTCGTTAGTTTGATCCCCAGTACCACAACAAAAAACATAAATGCTTGAGTGTTAGCATTCAAAGTGAGAATTAAAATAACACGGGCCATTATTCTGTGAAAGAACCCTCACAGTTTGGCCCTGGCACTATGTAACAGTCTTAATGATCTCCTTCATAAGTTAGATTTGGGAGTGGGGATACAGCTGATAGACGTGATATGGGAATACTCCTGGGTTCAGATGGGCCGGTACAGGACACTTACCCAAGTTGGAAGCCAGCCCCAGCAGCATCCTGCTACCAAAGGGTGGCACTGTGCGGCCAGCGTGACGGTGTGTCCACCCAGCCAGTCACCGCTTTCCTTGTCATCCGCCAGCGCTGAGGCTGCCTCTCCCTGCCCCCTGCCCGAAGTCCTCTGGGCCTTCCAGGGCTTTGGACTTTGTCCTCCCTCCGCCTTTCATTCCCAGCAGATTGCTCCTCTGCATCGGGACTAGCACAGTGTATCCAGGATCACAGAGTCCTTCCCACGGTTAGTTAGGTAATGTGTAAACCACAGCTCTGTGCTGTGTGTCAGTCACCGAGATGAGCTTTAGTGAAAACACCTTGTTTGTAACTGCTGAGGCCTTCTTTACACAGGCACCTCAGGCACTTCAGGTCCTGTGAGATCTCAGCCTTTCCTTGCCCAGTCTGCTCTGCCTCTGGTTCTGACTCCACTTGAGCTGGAGCCTCGGGACACTAGGACCTAGTGCCTCCACCCTTTCCCCTCTGGTGGGCAGTCAGATCTACCTCTTCTCTGACACTCGGCATAGTCCAGCCCCTACCTCCTCCTACATGGTGTGATGGTGGCCTCTTAATGACTGATCTCTGTCGCCTGTTCCAGTGTGTCTGCCCACTCCAGCCAGCAGACACAAATGATCGGCCACTCTTTACAGGAGAAAACCTAAGGTCTTCCCTGTGACATGTAAGACCCTAAATGGCCCTCCTGCCATTCCTGCACTGAACCTGTCCCCGCCCCGGCCACTGGCACTTTTCGCCTTAAGGAGAGCACAGAGGTGAAAGAGATGACTGTCACTGCCCCAGAGATCTGCAGCCCCACACAGGACGGTGGTCCATGCAGTCCCGGGACAGCCACCGCCACCTGTCCTCCCCTAGCAGCTGGGTTATTGCTTTGTCATGGGAGCCGCCACAGTTCTGTGTTGAAAGTTCTTTCTGCATTTTCCTCGTGATGCTCTCCCCATGCTCCCCTCCTCCAGGGCAGCAGCCGTGCCTGCTGTTGCCCCTCGTCAGTCCCCGCCTGACATGGTCCCTGGCAGGCACTGACTGCACAGGCCTTAGACGGGTGAGCAGCGCAGGTGGGGGAGCGTTCAGGGGTAGTGTGTGCCTTGGAGAAGTGGCCTGGGTTAGTCACTCAGTCTTCTGTGTTCAAAAGGGGTTGGACTACATGGTCCCTGAGGCCCCTTCTGGCTGCAGGGGCCACGATTCTGGCCCTTCCCGTGGGTCCAGAGCTGACACTGGGAGCTTCGGTGTCACCGGCTGCCAAGTGGCTTTCCAAGCAGACTGTCCCAGTTCTGGGCAGCACTCTTCCGGGTTCACCAGAGCTGCCTGTCGAGCAGGCTCTGTTGGTGCCACCCGTGATTGCTGAGCTGTCCTCACCCTTCCTGGACATCACTGTGCCCGGCACACTGACAGCCAGCTGTGGGCTGCCCCTGTTTGTGCTGGCCTAAGAGATGACGGCAGGGAAGCAGGGGCCGAGGAAGGTGTCCTGTCGCCCTTGACTTCACACCCCTTGGCATCACAGCTGCTGCCATCCTGTCTTCGAAGGGCAGGGCCCTTTCCAGGAGAACTCCTGGGCCTGTTCTGTTCCAGGTGCCTCTTGCTTACATGACCTTTGCATGGTGGGAGGAGGACGCAAGTTAGCACCTCCACAGGTACACTGACAGTCATATCCATGCAATAAATAAGAGCCCGCAGGCTTTCCTAATGCTTTGTGATTGACCTATTAGTCATCTTAAATGGGTCGAAACTTGCAGAGTAGCTATAATTGGGTTAGTGGCAGAGAGGCAGCTGGGGAGCCGTGAGGAGATGACAGTGTCATTCCCATAATGAGGCTGCTACCCACAAAAGCAGTAGTGTTTTATACAGGGCAGGAGGAAGGAGAGGGGTGGGGAAGAGTCCAGGAAGGCCCACTTGGGGACAGGCGTTGACAGACACTTGGATCTCCCGGAGAGCGGCGGCCCCTGCACCACGCTGCGGGCCTAGGCAGGTGACACCGTGGCAGCCTCCGCTTCACTAGAACAAAATGAGTCCCCAGAAGGCAAAACCATTAGTCACTCAAAACAGGAGCCCGCCCCTTGTCCTGAGCCAGTCAGACCTGACCTGCTACTTTGGTTGGCTGTGGGTCTGGCCTGTGTGAGTGAAGCCTTGATCTCCTCTTTTTCTCTTCCCGGTCCCTTTCCATCTTTCCTGTGACAAATGGAGCTTGAGAGCGGAATACTTTGGTTTAAAGATTTTTCTTGTAAAGGCTGTAGCTGGGGGGGATGTGCCTGTGATGCTGGTGAATACCTGTTTTCTCTCTCTCTTGTCTTTCTCCAGAGAAGAGTTGCTTAAGCCAATGGGCCTAAAGCCCGATGGGACAATAACGCCTTTGGAGGAAGCACTCAGCCAGTACTCAGTCCTCGAGGAGACCAGCTCCGACACGGACTGACGGCGCGGCCGGCTCTCGGATCGCTTGTCTCAGCAGCTTTCCTCTGTAGCTCCAGGGGAATCTTTTCTCTAAACATGTACGCCCTTGCTTTGGCTAGAAACACATTAACTGGTTTACTCGTTGAGAATCCAGCGTATTTAAGAGGTGATCCTGTGTTTTTGCGACTTCGAAGCATTTGTACCGAGCTGCAGGGGACGCGGCAGGGCTGGAGCAGAGCGGAGTCTGCCGTCGGGGAGCAGGAGGCCCTCACTGCGCGGCCACCTGGTCAAGCCGAGCCTGCAGGTCCCTCGCACAGAAATTCCCAGCATCCCGCGTGGCCTTGCCGCCCTCTGGCGCTCTCCTGTCCAGGCGGGAGGCGGCACAGGGCCAGCTCTCGGTGAGCGCTGAGCAGAGGGCTCGGCGGGGCTGGGACTGGCTGCGAGGAAGCCGAGCAGCAGCCCTGGACACCCAGCCCCGTCCTCTGTGTCACTTTTCTACCTTCCGAAGTCCACACACAAGCGCACAGAGCCCCAGACCCAAGGGCCTGAGCCCGGCCAGACGTTTGCGAGTCCCTGCTATCCGGCGACGGTTTCCTTCCCAGGCAGCCTAAGCCCCCTTCTTCCCTGACCTACCTGAAGACAGGACCACGGAGTGGACCACCATCTGCACCTGGCGTGGGGAGTGTGCGTCCTGAGCAGAGCGTCCCGCAGAGGGAGTGGGGACCCCGTGGGCTGCGGAGGCGGGTCGGCAGCACCATCTGTACATAAAGGTCATTCATCCCCACGTGTTTTCAGCTGGCGTCAGCGTGTGTGTGTGTGTGTGTGCGCGTGTGTGCGTGTGCGTGCACGCGCACGCCCACGCGCTGCCTTTCTACCACATGTAATCAGTTTAATGGTAACTTTATTTATTTAAAAAAGAAACACAGATAGTTACTATCAAACTGATTAAGGCTGTTTATTTTTACTGTTAGAACTGGTCCTATGAGTGAGCAGACAGTAGGCTGAGGGCTGGTTTCCTTTTATACGTGTGTGTGTGTGTGTGTGTGTGTGTGTGTGTGTCGGGGGACACATGCTTCATACACACACACACACACACACACATAGATGATGTGCTTAACCACTGCCTTTTAAAACTTTAAATTAAATAAAACATCGGGGTTGATTCAATTTAGACATCTGTGTGATTCTTTATAGAGCCGAGGGTAACTGGTTAGCAGGGTGTGCTTTTCGGGGTCTTTTGTCCCCCATTGGCTCACTTGTCCCCTGAGAGAGTCTTTGTAAGCACAGGTAAGGTACCTGGAGGGTTGGGAAGCCCATGTTTACCTGGCCATACACTGTCTCACTGTGATGACCCTGAGTTTCTTATCTAAAGGAATGAATGAGACCCTTCAAACAATAAATGTGCTTTGTAAAAGACTGGGAAAGAGAAACACATTTGGGGATGTTCGTGCAGAATAGTTGGAGAGCTTGTGTGTGACCCATGTTTCAGCCAAAGGCAAATGGGACGTGGCAGTTAATCACTAAACAAGTGGAAACAAATTCAGGAAAAAGAATGAAGGTCTTTTTATTTTGTTCTACAATGCATTTTTAAAATGTTTGATAAATGCACCTTTAAAGTAGCTATAATTTCTAGTCACTTAACTTTCATATGTGTGTGAGCCTACGTAAAGAAAATGCGTCTCACAAAAGTCCATCCTGACTGTCTGAGCAACCCTGTGCGCCAGGTGTGTTGAGCTCTGTTTCATTTGCCTTTTTAGAGGGGAAAATTTGGCAAGGGGAGAATGTGGGAGTGGCCTCCTTAGCTCAGGGAAAGACAGTTGCATGGGGGAGTCGTGTGGGCCCCTTCATGTCCTGTCCGCACCCCTCACATGTCCCGAGGCAAGAAACCTCTCTGTTGGCCTGATTCCTCTCCCCACCGTCCCACAGCTGGACCATGCTCGGTTCCCCAGGCCTTGTATTGCAGGGCACAGAGTGGCCGGGGCGAGCAGTCATCCACGGGCCCTGTCCTGCAGTAATCAGGTCAGCTGAACAAGGCTGAGAGCCCTGAGCAAGGAGGCACCCAGAGTGTGGGTGCAAGTGAGGACCGCGCACGCTGGGCTTCAGGTGAGGACCTGAGCCCTTTGGGGAGGTCAGGCCTGGCAGGCGCCCTCTCCACAGAGGGGCAGGCAGTGTTCCTTGGCCAGCGCCCTTGGCAGGCCTGTCTGCCACGGTCCTCCTGACCTCGGAAGTGAAGGCTGGAAGAACAGGTCCCGACAAAGGCTTTGGGGCAGCAGGAGATCTAGAATAGTCACGAGGTGCGGGGAGACGTGACCCGCCCTCCTGTACAATGAGGAGACTCGAGGCACACTGGTGACTTCAAGCCCAGACTGTGTTGATCTTGCTGCCTCCCCAGACTGGGGGCACCATGTTGAGCACTCCTCTGTTTATAGGAGTAAACTGCTCACTGTGGAAAGTTTGGGGAAGGCAGAAAGTAAAATAATTTGCCCCAAATCCCACCTCTGAGATAATCACTGTTAACGTTTTAGCGTATTTCCTTGTATTTTTCTATGCATATATATATAATTTATTTTACTACAAGACTGGGATCAAGCTGTGTTTACAGATTTGTATCCTGCTCTCTTTAACAATTGTGAGCATTTTCCCGTATCAATAAACACTCTTCAGATGTTCGTGGCTGTATGATGCTCCATTCTGTGACTCGTAGTGAGCACTAACGGCCCGGCCGCCAGTGATCTTCCTCACAGACAGAACATCCTGAGTGACAGCTCTGCCCCCACCATCCAGACACCTGCTGCCTGCTTTCCAGAAGCCAGCCCTGCAGAGCCACAGGCCCCAGCCCTGCAGCGCATGGTGACGCAGCCGGATGAAGTGCCAGGTGACTAGCATTCAGGGAGAGCCACTCCCAGGGGCCCAGGAGCCAGACCACGCCGCCTCCACGCCTTGTGTGGTGTGTGCCAGTGGCTGCTGTTGGTTTTCTTTGGGGTGATATTCACTGCTTTTCCAGAGGTGGAAGGGGTACTTGGGGATGAGGGACATCTCAGAAGAAAATCAAGTCCTGTCGGAGCTGCTGGTGTGCAGTGGCGCAGTGTGGAGACGGGCAGAGGACCGGTGCTCTAGGAACAGAGCAGGACGGGGCGGAAGGACTGGGAACGAGGGAGAGCTGAGTTCCAAAGGGGACTTCCCGCACTCAGCCTGTGCTGGGCTGCCCAGAACAAGGAGCAGCACCACTGACAGGGCTGGGCAACCTGGAAAGGCCCTGACTCTGCCGCAGAGAGTGACCACCTCCTGGGTGTCCAGAAGAGTGACCACCATGGGACAGCCGTCAGACACTGAGGAGATGGGAGCTCTGGTTGCTCTCGGAATTTTGTGGTTCCAGTGAACCTGACAGAGAAAACCTGCCCCATACAAAAGATCCAAATTATTCTTCCTTCTGAAGTCAGATTTGCGTTGTAATATGGCTGGCTACTGGACATACTTCCTGAGCAGCTGCTGTGGTGTGCACGTTCCAGGTCAGTTTTCATGAGAGCCTTGTGGAATCGGCCATCATGAAAGGCTTCTGTCTGCAGCTGGCAGAACTAAGGCATGGCTTTATTTGCTTATAATCTGCGACAAGCAGCAGTTGGAATTCAAGATGTCTGATGGCAGAATTTCTGTAAACACTGCGCTGTCTGCGTCCTCTCGTGTAAAAGTCTGTTGAGAGAGGCTGGGACAGCCGAGAGAGCTGAGAAGACTTCCCAACACACTCCTCCACTTTCCTGCCTGCGCCAGGCAGATTTCCAGGGTAATCCCTAAGAGAAGATGATGTTCACAAGCGTGCCAGGCCATCGCCTGTCTGGCAAGCATGTGTACACACTAGCTGTGTGCCAGCTGCTGTTCACGGTGCTGGGGTCACTCACCTGCCTCCATGGTCCCTATCCCCACAAGGCCCGCTGTGTAAGATGTGTGTGACCAGTCCAAGCTGAGTTGCGGGACGCCAAGAGGAGGGTGAAAACTGGATGTTACAGTGGGCATTTGAGCTGGCCGTGTCTAAGAGAAGCTGCTGTTGGCAGGGCTGGCTCACACGGTGCCCGGAGGCAGAAGGTCTGCGGCCGAGAGGGTGAGGGTTATGGAAACCCATGGTTTGCATCTTGTGATTGGAAGGGACACAGGAATTAGAGAGTGGAGGAAGCACAGGAAGACAGTGAAAAGAGCCCGGACCGGAAGCTGCTGCCTTGGTGTCCGGCAGTGAGTGTGGTCTTGGGGAAAGGCCAGAAAGAGCTCATTTAACCTCGGGGTGAGGGTGACTGTGCGGAGAAGACAGTCTAGCACCTGGCTTCCGGGGTAAGGACTGGTGAGGAGAGGCCGGAGCTTCAGGGTCTCTGAAAGCTGCATGGTGACTCGGCTTTCCCTCACTGTAACAGAGTGTCCCAGGTGACTTAGACATGAAGGTTTATTTTAGTCCACGGTCCATAGTCCATTGGCTCTGTTGCTCTTGGGCCAGTGGTAAAGAGCACCTCGGCGGGGCGTCTGCAGCCGGAGAAGCTGGGAATAGAAGAGGAAGGTCGGGGTGCTACAGTCCCCTTCAAAAGCAAGCTTCGAGTGACCAGAAGGCCTTCACTGGGCTCTGCCTCCCAATGCCAGACTAGAGACGAGGCCCTGACCACATGAGATTTGGGGACATCTGGGAACCGGCCATCCCCAAGCATCATGTGTATCTGAATAAGCACCTCGAACATGCAAGCAGCATGTGTGCACATGTGCACGTGCAAAATGAAGCTCACTGATCAGGAGTTTCTGGCAGTGAGGTTTCGCCAATCGTTCTCAGCTGAAAAAAAGACAGCTGTTGTGTGGAAAGGAGATCCTGGAGACCTCCGGCTTCCAAACAAATTCTTATCTTTAAAAAGAGAACTCTTGTTAGCAAGTCTCAGAAGCTCCTTTGCACAGGGAGGAGGTGAGGAAAAACAAGATGTAGCAGGCCTCGCCTCAATGAGAGCCAGGGCTGCTGATATTCCAGAGGCGAAATCCCTGTTCGGGGATGCCATGGTGGTCATGTGATGTCATCTCTAGTGGGAGGGTTCACACCATGGGAACCCACAGATCTATAGATGAGTGCCTTTCCGTGGAAAGCCTTAGGGTTAGCCATAGCAGCCACTGTGACAGACTGTGCCGAAACCCAGAAGTGGCTCAGAATCAGACACCAGGTCCACCTGAGAAAGCACCCACAGTAGGATTTGAAACGAGCAGCTTTTCCATCACTGCTACCTTCCTCAGGATAAGCCAGGACATTCCTTACAAGTTCATTCAAAGGGCTCTGGACTGAGGAGAGGTGTCCATTGCTGAGATGAGGCTCGGTGATGGGCCACGTGCTGCACCACTGGAAACTCAGTCTGCCCTTAGGCAGCGCCCAGAACACCAGCAACCAGGCCTGTGCTGGCTGGGACGCTGCCCCAAAACGAGACAAACAGACTCTAGGGTCCTCCGATGGCAAGATCACAGCCCTCTCATGGTCAGGGGCATCACTGTGTATTCACCTATTGGTTCAGTGACTATGCCCAGGACTGACGCCAAGCCCTGCTGCTGGTGTGGAAGATGCATCAGAGCACAAGAGGGAGACGCTGGCCTCACGGGCCCTTTACTCTCCTGGGGACAGCGCCAGAGAAGCACAAAGCACTGGTGAGTGGAACACAGCATGCTGTACCTGATGCCAGACCAGGTGGCGACCAGGCCTGGTGTGAGTTTTAGGAAGGGTCATCAGGGAAGGCCTCTCAGACAACATGCAGCTTGAGCACCACATGAAAGAAGCCAAGAAAGCAAGCAGACTGCCAGGGTCATCTCCAGGCCGTGCTCAGGTCCTATAGCAGTGACAGCCCAGCAGTGATGCAACTCCCTCCGAGGGGAGGCCACAGGAGACGCCATCAGGTGGCCTTGGAGGGGATGCACTGCCCACACAGAGCTTCTGAGTAGGTCCTCCAAGTCTCATTTTCAGAACAAAGATTCCACCAAGCAGCACTGGATGTGTGAGGACATCCTCTCCTGTGAAAAGCAGACCCAGACGGTAGATGGAAACTTCCACGGGCTGGGATTAATCACAGTGATGGGCTTCAGCTGTGCTACCGCTGAAGCCCAGATCCAGTCAGTAATAACCAAAAATACGTCAGTCCATACTGGAGCAACACAACTGAACTGCT